TCAGCGCAGCTAGCTAGCACCAGATGCTAACAACAACAACACGTAAGGTGTGCCTCGCTCGCGCGAGTCGCGCCACACATACACACTCCTTCCCGGTCCTCCCGATGGCCAGTCCGGGCCTGCCAGTGAGCGTGGTAGTGTGGTCTGCCACAAGCGGGTGGCAGGAGCGGGGCTGTCAGCATCAGCTTGTCGATGGTATTTTACACTCGATGCGCTCTGAAACTACGGCGGCCGAGGACAAAAAATACACATGCGTTAATCGCGTTAAAATAATTAGTGGCGTTAATTTTTTTTTGCGTTAACGCGTTATTAACGCGTTATTAACGCGTTAACTTGACAGCCCTAATATATATATATATACAGTGCAATAATTCTTTCATGCTAAATGAAGCTCTGTTGCTTGGATATCACTAGATCCTGTTACAGCGTAATATAAAAGTACATAACGATTGATGTGTAAATTAGCATAATTACTAGCTAACCGCTAGCTGCTAACTGCTGCCTCGTTAATATCAAATCTATCATAACAAACCATTACCATGCTGTCATGAACGTGCGGTGCTGTTACGTGTACGCAAATTGACGTGCTTGATGTGAACGAGCATTTTGGGGGGCATGGTTAAAGTTGCGCATGCGCTATGAGCGCACATACGGGTACTTCTCAGGCATGCCGGGTAATCTGTGACGTTTCGCTCTCTCAAAAGTTGGGCCATTTTATCATCATGCGCGAATGAGCAACTCTCATAGGAATGAATGAGGCCCCGCCTCCCACGCTGTATCCAGTTCTTATTATACATCCATGGCTCATACACAGTCACACATGCTCACTCACACATGCTCCACGGCAGCAGGGGGCGCTACTGAGTCCATTGGGAAGGCGGGAGGTTGAGCAGAGCATGGAACAGCCCTTGCCAGTCTGATGGCAGGTGTTTCTAGCGATCCAGCGATCTGGGTCAGTGTTATAGTGATAATATTATAAACAAGGTGAATTTAGCGATCACAACGAAAACAGCCAAGACACATATTGAGCCCAGAAAATAAATGTTATCAGGGGCTGTAAATATAATAAGCCTTTGTCTAAAATGGACAACATTGTAACTTAGGAGATTTAAACTATATATACAGCGATTCTGCACTCGGTCAATCAGCTGCTTTTCATTTTTATTCCTGCTATATTCAATGAGTGATACAAATATTTTTTACCACAAGTTCTTAATAAAACTGACACTGTTGGACTTGGTACTAGTTGACTGCTACCAGAAATAAAATGAAGTACTTTACTGTGTACTTTGTGAGTAATCCTCTGTCAGAGTCCCCTCCATAGTACATAATGCATGTTTTCTGTGGACTCTCAACTTTTCATATGATATAGTTTGTGCAGATAGCATGAAGTATAAAAATATCGCTACCAGTGCTGATTTAAACGCTTGGTGTTAGACTTGTGTTTTGTTTAGGTACAAATCTCTCTATCTCTAAAAAGCAGTAATTAAGAAGAAAGGGATGGAGATCTGGCAGAAAAGGTGGGAGAAAGACCAGAAAGGCAAACAGTATCATAAAGTTCAAAAGACAATTACAATGAATATTTATAAAGAAAGAAACAGAAGGGAGGAAATCATGATAGCTAGACTCAGACTAAATCACACAGTATTGAATGGTACGCGGTATGTCATGGGGAAAAGTGACAGTGACAAGTGTAGGAACTGTGTAGTTAAAGAAAATGTAGAACATATCTTGTTACATTGTGACATCTATAAAGCTGAAAGAGAAAAACTAAAGGCTAAAGTTTTAAAGGCAGAGAGGGAATGGAGTGTGGTTGGTATTCTGGGAACAAAAGGAGAGGGAGTAAGAGCTACCAGAAAGGCACTGTTTACCTTTCTGAGTGAAACTGGGGTAGGAAAAAGAATGTAACATTAGGTCAAGAAAGAACATAGATTTTTATTTTGTTTTGTTTTATTTATTTTATGTTTTTTGTTGATTTATTTATTTTTTGATTAGATCATAGATATATACGTCCATGAGTTAAGAGATGGAATGATATGATGATTCACACTCATGTAAAGTTGTTTGCAATCCGCCAAAAACCAAGAGAAGAAGAAGAAGATCTGATACCCGACCTCATTTCACAATGAGTGGCCAACAGGTGAGTTTGTTGATTTCTCTGGTGAAAAAGCCAATGTTAACTCAACTAAGTTACTGTTTCATGAGTATGAGCAGACCGCAGGAGCTAGTTTACAACAAGCTTGGCTAATTTTCGTTTTTTTATTTTCTTTAGTAATCGGTTCTTGTAAACATATATGTAAATGAATAAATACATAAATATATATATATATATATATATATATATATATATATATATATATATATATAGTCATCAGTAGACTACATGAATGAGACAAGTCTTTGTGGTTAGTTGAAAAGTCTGTAATAACCATACCGCTAAAGACAGGGATTCTGTGATTTTATGAGAAAATCTGTGAAATGATCGTTTGTTGCCTCGTCTAACATGTATTTGCTTATTCTACTATACCACCCGATTAGCACCATAGTTATAGTCTTCTATTTGCTTGTGTTCCAATCATTTTTAAACAGTATTGTGTTGGTGCTGCCTGTGTTTTGCCCACAAGCTACTATGTGGCGCCAACCGTGACGTCAGATAGTTTGATCCTATTGGTTCAGTGTTAGTGTCAGTTCAAATAGGGTGTGCAAATTACCCAATTTATAACTTAAACTGTTTTCAAACTAAACAGAAGGCACTAACACTTTATGCAGATAGTCGACCACCAGGTACACATTTCACATTGGTTATCTGCCAATATCACATAGAATATAGAAACGTATCAGCAGGGGTTAAATTGGGTTCTCTTATGTGGGTATATTTACAATGAAAACTGAAAATAAACTTAATGTGTACCCAATTCAACCCCTGCTTACCCGCCATGGTTAAATATCTAAGTTACCAAAATGCTTCACCTCACACTTGCTCATCCTTTTCTTCTATCTCTAGGAATTGCTCGTACAAAGCATGTTGGAGAGGCTCCATACACGAGTTCTACATGTTGTCCGTCAGCAGCCACTTGACATCGATTACCTTGAGTTTGTCTGTTCTCAGGAGGTTGTTCTTTTTAGTGCTCTCTCTAATCAGCTTCTCATCCCAAAGGCTATTGTAGATGCACTCACAGAGCTACACAAGTTGGTTGTTGAGGAAAGACAAAATAGGGTCCCCAAAGTATTAGTTCAGGTTACCCATGGAGTCACTGGGCGTCCAAGATTTGATTTATCTCCAGATTCCCTGTTACATCTTCTTAACCTGGGTCTTCCAGTGCCCTGTATTGCTAACCTAATGGGAGTGTCCACTCGTACTATTTACAGACGAATGTCAGAGTCTGCCTTCTCTGTCAGAGCACTCTATAGCACCTGTTCAGATACAGAGTTAGACAATTTGGTAACTGACATTAAAAAAGACATGCCTCATGCTGGGTACCGCCTGGTTAAGGGAACCTTGCAGTCCGGAGGATTCAGAGTCCAGTGGGAGAGGGTTCGGGCCTCCATGCACCGTGTGGACACTAGGCATCCTTTTCCGAATGAACCAGCTAGGGTGTGTTGTGCGTCGCACCTACTCAGTTCCTGGTCCCAAATCCCTGATGCACATTGACATCAACCACAAGCTGATTCGGTGTGTATAATTCCATTTGTAACACAATATTGACCAAAATTGTAGGCCACATTTTTATTTTAATGTTTAATAATTGTTCAGCCCAAATATGTGTCTTATTATAGTTTCTTTCATTTAATCAGGTAAAACATTGTCATATTTGGTGGTATTGATGGCTTTTCAAGAAAGGTATGATTCAATAAAAAAAGAAAAACATTAAACGAGACATCTATAAAAGGATACGTTTACATCCTTTTTTATTTAACTTTTTAGATCATGTTCCTGGGTGCAGCAAACAACAATCTGGCCTCAACAGCCCTTGCCTTCTTTCAGAAATCAGTGGACAGATATGGATTTCCATTAAGGTAAGTGACAATACATGGGTCCTTTCATTTCAACTTGAGACAGAAGTCAAGACTACATTTTGACACCCCATATTTGTCAATTTGACAAATGTAAATTTAACTTAGAATAACAGAGATTAGGGACTCAGAGTGTTCATGGACAAGTATGGAACATCAATATTTAACTAAAGAGTAAAGAACTGAAAAGGTTTTCATGATTATCATGTTTTTGTTGGCTTTTATAATAGTGTGTCTATATGATATGTTTATAAAGATCATTTAAAGACAAAGAGAAGATAAAATGGTTTGGACCACATTTAATCACGCACTATAAATGCTATTAATTTGGTAGGGTAAGAGCAGATCACGGAGTTGAGAACGTTGACATTGCACGGCTGATGTTCTCTGTCAGGGGAACAGGAAGGTCCAGTTTCATCGCTGGAAAGAGTGTGCACAACCAAAGGCAGGTTCAGTCGCACTTCTATATATCAAAGCTAGTTTTTCTTTTTGTATCATGCAACATCATTATTACTTGAATTGATATCTCAGCACTGTGTTTTAACTTCCATCACTGGTTAAAAAACATGGAATAATAAAGCATAAATGTATGTAAACCATATCTTATCTTACAAACTATCCTTCCAGAATTGAACGCCTCTGGAGGGACGTGTGGTGTGCTGTGACCAACGTATTCTACAACGCGCTGCACTCGCTAGAGGATGATGGTTTGCTTGACCTGTCAAACTTTGCACACCTCTTCAGTTGTCATTACGTTTTTCTGCCCAGACTACAAGCTAGTCTTGATATATTTTGTGGTGGTTGGGATAACCACCCACTCAGAACTGAGGGAAACTTAACTCCTAATCAGTTGTGGCACATGGGAAGCATCCAGCATCCTGTGGCAGAACCAGAAAATGTGGAGGTAAAGGGGGCATCATCGTGCCATCTATTATGATAAAAAAATGTATGGGAATATTTCAACATGGTTTGAACTATTCAAGTATATCACATACAATGTAATACTAAACATACAGTATCTTATAATATCTGGGTCCCTAGGGCAAAAATCTTTTTATTTGTCGTCCACAATGAAAATCAACTTGTTCGGCCATAACCTGAAAATTGTTACAGTACACCCTTGCTCTAACAAACAAACAAAAAACTCCTGCACACAAGAATGTTTTGCATGCTCATGTCTTACTAGTGAGTATATATATTTCACATTTGGACATTTAAGTTATTTTTTAACTATCTGCAACTGGTTTTCATATATCACATTCTGGTGTCTTTCTTTTAGGAATTATACCTCCCTCATCTTGACTGGGAGGACAGTGGCCTGCCTGATGATCCACACCATGGGGTCACTGTTCCTGAGACAGGCCATTTGTTGAGCCATCAACAAGAGGCAGCACTGGGGGCAGCCATAAATCCCCTGGCACAGTCCCAATCACATGGCTCAGACATTTATTTAGCTACTGTTCAGTATGTCCAACACCTTCTAGGCTTACAGTAAAAGCACAATACACTTGCAACAGACATGTTGAGTAAGGTAAAATTATCTGAACTGAGCAAACAAGAACATTGAACAGTTGACTATAGCTTTAGGTACAAGCTGTGGTATAACAGTCACACATTTTGCTGCCAACATTTACACCAGCCCAAATCCAGTGTCATTTGTGCTGAGACACGCCATCAACTCTTTCTTGAATGTTGGGTAGTCTTGGTAGTGGGCAGGAATACGGAGTGTTTCAAAGCATGTGGATGACTTTGGTAGGCCACCGTTAATCACCTCCACTGTGAGGGTACTGGAAGGAGCCTCCCATCCAACCCAGAACTTTACAAGTTCCTTCAACTCATCACTGGATGCTGCAGAAAAAAACAATATATAAATACATAAATGCTTGCAGTAAAGGAGAATGCTGCACTTGATACACATTTCGCACAAGAACAAAACCAACTACAATTCTTGTGTCAGGTACTGGGAAGAAGGGTGGCTGAAATCTAATACATTTGGATTTGGATTAAATACACTGCACAAATCAATATTAAGGTGCTCTGACTTTTTTAACTGTTTGATAAGGCTAGAAAGATAAGACTCAGATCTGGTGTTGTAGACTACATTGTAACTAATATGACACGTTTGTTCTTCGACTAGGATAGATAAGTGGATAATGAGAACACATGTGAATGCATTACACTTAAAACATACATACAGTACATGCATCAATCATTGCATGAAGGAAATATACCATCTTGAATGAAGCGACGAAGGTATCCTGTGACACGGCTCTTATCTTCCAAAGAGCATTCATCATCATCATCACCAACGTCAATCATGGTCGGCCAGTTGATGCGGTCAAGAATGCTCGACATACAAAAACATCACACAGACAAGCCATCTGGAATAAATAATTTTTCTGCAGTTTGGAAAATGTTTCTGATTGAACACTTCATTTCCACCTATGATCAATACTACCGGTCTTATTAGACGTATTTACCTCTGGGGTCAACACAGCACTTGACTCCTGTGGAAAAAGAATTGGAGCTACATCTGGACGTTGATTAATGAGGGGCCACAGCATAGTGTCTTTGAGTCCTTTTCTGATTTGCCTCATGGCTCGTCCAATTACCTGTTGAGATAAAATACAAAAACAAATCTTTATACCTTCAGTGGGATAAAAGTGTTATACAATATGTTTAATAGTTTCAACAGTATTCAATACCGCATGATAAAGATGTCTCTCAAAGAGCCATCGCCGCTTGTCGTTAGACATCACAGGAAGGTCCCATGCCAGACACAAGGTGTTCACACTCTCCTTCTCAGCAGCTGAGAGTTCGGAGTTCCCTTCGAGCTTAAAGACACAATATGGACACACTTAAACCGAATCTAAAATGTGTTCAAATATGACACACTTAAACCAAATCTAAAATGTGTTCAAATATGAATCATGTGCAATTTGCAGAATACACACTATCTGGATGTTCTCCCTTAGATCCATGTCTGGACAGTCACGGATGCTAATGGTGGCAGTTTCAGCTGTGCCTCCACACAGGATATGAACAACAGCTGGGCTTAGGCCTGTCAGTGCAGGACCTCCATGCAGGAAGCAATGGCCAATGATTCTGCCCACCATCAGAAAAAGGTCACTCTCAACCAAGAATGCAGACGATGAAGGCACAAGGTGGTCTGGCTCTCCATCGAACAGCCTTGTGACACAGCAATTTCCTGTGCAAACAGAAAAAATCCGTGGAACAATGATCATGTATTATATTACTCAGCAATTCTGTGGTTGTACAGAATAAAATACATTAAAATATATATGTAGGTCTGATCGTATCTTAAATATGTTTTTATTGGATAAATTATAGATGGATTAGGAATATTGCAGCATGAACACACTTCAACATATATATAAGACACCCTACCAAAGTTCAAGTTAAAACCCTCTTTTAGCTTCTGCATCACTCTGGAAAACCAGTAGCGGTTCACTCCCTCTCCGATTGCAGGATCACCTAGCAATTATAAGAAATGTAAATATTCTGGGTATTTATTTGTGAAAAAAACAACTGCACTAAAACAAAAAGGGCAAACCTTCAAGTCTGGATTGCATAGGATTTGCCCACTCTACATTGCGTGCCTTGTAAAATGCAATGAAAGCCATTTCTTGGTCTGTCTCCCAGGTTAACATGCAAATGCAGCGGCTTCCCTGATGCATGAATGTCCAGCATTGTTTCTCTGTACAACCGAGCAGCCCTGGCTGGGTCTGGTATAGTTTTCCAATCTATAATTTAATAAAGATTTCAAAATGTCAAAAGCAATAAACCAAAGGTTTTAAACTAGGACCACTAGCAGGTTGTTACAATACACAACACACCTTCAGTTGTGTTTGCAGGTCTAGAGGGTCCGGCAGAACTTGTTGGCTGATTTTGCCATGGTGTCATCTGTGAAGATGTGGCAGATGGTTCTTCCAATGCCTCTACATCCACTCCGGCGCCACCATACGAAAGCCCTTCCAGAGTTGATGTCCTCAAAGACAAAATATTCTCCATATTGAAATATTACACATGTACAATTGAGTCCAAAGTTAAATTCAAAAGTGGTCTAAAGCTGTAGGGAAATAATGAAATAACTCCAAGTTCTGATGTTTTCCTCCACTTTATAAATTCTGGAACGACCTGCATGTCCTCTGTCTTTTAGTGGTCCCTTTAAGTTGTACATATGTGTGCTATCTCAGATTGCATGGTGAAATAGAGATTTTCTATTATACTCAAGTCTAGAGATCGGTGAGGCCACGGCAAAACTTTGACTTTATTGTTTCCCATAAAGTATTGTTTTCCACAACAGCCTGGAGTAATGTTAAATATTTATACTCATTAGTAACCATGTTAAATGCTCAGCGTATTTTGTGTAATTTTAAGGAAAGAAGAATTCAAACTTTGAAACAGTTCAAATTCAAACAGTTATCTATGATTACTGGATATGTGAACTTGTATGCATCTGATGAAAAAAGGCACATTTGTTAAGCCTCAAGGCTAAACTATACAGGACAACAATATACCTCTCAACGCAGGCACTGGCATGCATCTCGATGATGTCAGCAGGGTACACTACTTGGCATATGGGACACTCTTTCTCACTCGCGACTGGGGAAGCTGAAAAAATACAGTGAGCAGCATTAGTTTAATACAGGTGTAGCAATGAAAGAAAAATGAAGCCAAAATAACTCTGACAACGGCTCTGAAATTTCAAATATAAATGATCTGCGCAAGCAGAGGAAACATTTCAACAACAACTTTGTGGTCACTGGGAAACAAATAAGAAAGACATAGAAGGAAGCAGATCAGACTAATGACTAGAACAATTATTATATGAATAAGTACACCACAAGTGAAGTTATATATTATCATTGATGAGTGTAGCATAGAATTATGTTACGTTTTATTCTTTTGTGTCATGAAAGTGTATTCACACTTACTATTGTCTTGATCATCATGGTCTTGCTTTTCATCTGAATCTTCATCAATTTCCTGTTAAGTGGATCAGATTTACAAACGTTATATGACAATACTATAGTTTGGATATGCACTCACTGAAAAAAAAGATTCAAGAACAAGGTGCTTTAGCTCAGCAAGGTCTCATGTAAAGAAAAAACCTACTTGTTCAGTATCTTCTGCAGACTTGCTACAAGACTCAACATGTAGAGCAAGAAACTGTAGGGGTAACGTTTCTCCACAGGTCCTGCATTGAGATGTAGGCATTTTGCAGAACTCAGGGGCATCAGCGGGAAGAGGCGTGGTGTCTAGTTCCTCTTGAAGTGGAATAACGAAAAGCGTGTGTTTTCCATTATTTGAAATGCCCTTTAGCATTTTTGCTGTGTAGCCTTCGGACTCGGGTGGGATCACAGAAAGTTTTCTCTGGCCACTTCCTCCTTCAGTATTTTTGAAAGTGGGAAGTGAGCATACATCAATTTATTTGTATTTGTTTTCAACATTGATTAAAACATAAAAACAAAAATGTAGTTTAAAATCTCAACCCATTATAGTTGTGTGACACCATTTTTAAATAATGCTGAATCTGCTTACCCGATGCTTTATAAATTAGCCATCCACCAGTCAAAGTCTCCAGTTTCGGGTATTCAGCCGAAAGAACTGTTGAAATCTTAGTAGGAAGACAATATACAACAAGGACAAAAAACAAAACATTAGCACTACAAATCGTATTAAATTACCATGGCTAGCCTCTTAATGAAATATAATTATTTTAATGGTCACCTCTGCATGGTTGCTCTGTTCAGGCAATGCTATAAGGCGTTTACCTAGGCCTGCCATCAACAGCCTGAGCTCCTGAATCCCTTGTGGAGTTCTGCTAACGGGTTTTGGGAGCAAATAAAACTGTACATTAAGGGTCATTGTGGATGTGGCTGAAACTGTTCTCAGTGGCGCAGGAAATCTACGTTTGCCACTGGTTCGCTCTCTTCTGAAGAGACCTGGAAAAGACCTGGAAAGAAAATTGAAAGGCATGTCATACACAATCTTAACTACCAACCATACTTTATACATTGTAGCAACATTGTAATTTTTCTAACTTTGCCATCTCCTGCTGGACATTGGCCGGCCTCACTCTCAACTCCTGACTAGTTCCCTGGCTGGAAGACTGGCCCTGATTCTGAACCTGAACCTGGGGCTGGCCTTGATCCTGAACCTGCCCTTGGCTGACTGTTGCTGTTAAAAGAGACAGCAAGTTCCGTGCAGCAGTTTCTATGTGTGCATACTCTGGCTTCTGGAAACAAATACATACAAACAAGAATAAATAAAACAGTATAATGTGTTTTTTGAATTAGCTTAAAAGCAGTTTTGAGCAAAAAACACGTTTGTATCTGTAAAGTGAGAGAACTTAAACAGATGATATCAAAATCCCTAACTAAAACACACATTTTGCACATTATCTTACACACATTATAGATTATGTATTATCTTACTCTGTTACAAGTAAAAGTATAAAAGTATTATCATCAAAATGTAGTTAAAGTAGCGACAGTAAAAGTAGTAATTGTGCAGCTGGTCCATTTCAGAATAATATATATGATATGTTTTATAATGATTGATCATGAAAGTGTTCTCAAAGCTGGTAAAGGTGCAGCTAGTTTGAATGACTTTGTATACTGCAGGGTAGCTTGTGGATTTACTCCAGGTGGAACTAAAGTCTGATTTAACACTTGATTATATTTCACATCATTCATCCACATCTGTGAAGTAACTAAAGGTATTCAATACATGTAGTGGAGTAAAAGTACACCATTTACCTCTGAACTGTAGTGGAGTAGAAGTACAACATTTACCTCTGAATGGTAGTGGTATACAAAAAGTACCAATACAAATACAATTGAAGTACCGGATCGATAAGCAGTATCGGTAAGAGTAGTAGTAGGCCTACCAATAAAAGCTTTACTATACCCATCCCTAGTTCCAACAGCTGTGATAGTTATTGAGTTATCTTTGTAAAAAGCGGGCACTCTCCAATACAACAATAAACAATAGGAGTGTCTTGGTGGAGACCTCATGGATATGTGTAATTTACACAGCAGCTTTCAACCACAAAGTTTTTATAAACATTGAATCACTCAATATGTAAATTGGTCGGTGCAGGTAAGCATTCTCTGGCTGAGGGACAATCTAATTATTAAGACATGCTCAACTGGGGCGGTAGCTTAGTCCTCATCCTAAATCAGAACCAAAATGAAAATTAGCCTAGCTTGTTGTAAACTAGCTCCTGCAGTCTGCTCATACTCATGAAACAGTAACTTAGTTGAGTTAACATTGGCTTTTTCACCAGAGGAATCAACAAACTCACCTGTTGGCCGCTCATTGTGAAATGAGTTCGGGTAACAGATCGCTGGATCGCTAGAAACACCTGTCATCAGACTGGCAAGGGCTGTTCCATGCTCTGTTCAACCTCCCGCCTTCCCAATGGACTCACTAGCGCCCCCTGCTGTCGTGTAGCATGTGTGAGTGAGCATGTGTGACTGTGTATGAGCCAGCCACAGCGGAATATTACTGCCAAAAGTCACGTGACTTTTGGCAGTAATATTCCACCGTGAGAAGAAAAAGTTTTGTACTTGTAAAAAAAAGTTTTGTAGTTGTAAAACAAAGTGTTGTAGTTGTAAAAAAAAGTTGTGTACTTGTAAAAAAAAGTTGTGTACTTGTAAAACCTAAGCTGAATTTGTCTCTGAAACATGATTTATTAGAAAAATGTTATGTGTTTGTTTGATAGATACGTTTTTTCTTTGCAAAACTTAATTCATTAGTTTGTAGATGGTGTTTTGTATTTGCAAACCACATTGTGTTTGTTAGTGAATCATAAGGCATTTGTAAAACCTGTTTAGTTTGTTTGTGGAGTTATGGCAGGAAATTAGCTCCATAGAAGAAGTTCAGAAAACGGTACATACTCGCCAGCGTGGACCCAGGTCTCCGTCAGGAACATCAAATCCAGATCACGAGAGGTGAAGAAGTCATTTAGCAGGAACGTCTTGTTTGCTATTGACCTAGCGTTTAGCAAAGCCATGCAAAGTTTTCTCTCCGGGCTGGCCGAAGGTGTGCGTGTTGAACGCCGCGCGGACCGGGAGCAGTCAGTCGGGCAGGAGGAGCTGCCAGCGGGCCCAGCAGAGGCCGCAGCTCCGGAAAGACAGGGCGAATCCATCGATCCCTCACATGGCGTGCAGCGGGAGGGCCATGACATCTGATACGTGGATAAGTCCCAGAAGAAGCCGTCAGGTATGCTTTATGATGGACCAGTGCACCACCACGCTTTCCTCGTCGTCTAAAGCGCTTTCGGTGAGGCAGGATGCAGGGCAACCTGCGCAGGTAGGTGGGAATATCCGACAGTAGAGGGGGGGGGGGACGATTTACGGTTGCCAGATGTAGGTTTGGGCAGCAGTATAAACTCCAGTGAGGGTCTGAGGTGGAGGAGAGCTTGGCGATCGTAGACGAGCAGAGCAGAGACATTCTGACAAACATAAAACAAAAACAGGATGGCTAAAGGCAGAGAGCTGAGGGAGCGGCATGCCGACACAGGCGCCATCTTGAAATCCGTCATTCGTTCAGGTGTTATGGCGTAAATACAGCCTATCTACCAATTGGATCAAATATAAAAGTCAGCCGAATTAGTGTTGATACTGCAAGGAGACGTATTGTGTGAAAATAAATGTAAGATGTTGTTTAATTGCTTATATATTTAAAGGGGACCTATCATGCAAAATGCACTTTTGTACGTCTTTTATACATGAATATGTGTCCCCGGTGTTCCAGGGAACTCACCAAGTGTCAGAAAACACAACCCTCTCTATTTTCCTCCATACCCAAATCTCTAAAAAAGGGGCTGCAACGGATCTGATAAAAACTGATCCAGATTTGAACACTGTCCTGACGTCAGGACAGTGGCGCTACGGCTATTGGGCCAATCAGGAGGAGACAGCCACGGCCATTGCCGTTCGAAAGTGCTGGAGACGCTGTAGTACATATGCCAGGCCTGTAGGTGGTGCTGTTCTCACAGAATCAGCCCTTGCAAAAACAGGGGTAAAAAAGGGCAAATTGAGCGAAATGAGGCATGGCTAAAATGCATGATCTGTTTGGTATTTTGAAAAGAAAAAGGATAAATATGCCTTATATAGGTATGGTCCTACACTATATTATTATAATATAGCATGATAGGTCCACTTTAAGATCCACGTCAAGTTTTCAGTTTTGGCGGCAGTTCCTGTTTGTCTAGAAGTCTTGTCATCAGGGCTCTATAAATAGAGTTAACTACGGCAGATATGTAATATTTAATGCAGCCGAAACGTGTATTACAATGCCGTTATGTGATGACTTTCAAAGAGAAAAGCAAGCACACTCGGAATAATGTATTATTTAATTTTTGTATACAGTCTATGGTTGCTACAGAGGATTGTGGGTAATGTAATGTCTTCGGCCCTCCAAAACTCATAGAAAACGACTTGTTTCTCAGAATTGAAGGGGTAAACGTGACAAAAGCATTGTACACACACTAAAACCTATCAATGTTGTTTAATTAACAAGGATAATCTGGTGTTTTTGAGTTGATGAGTAGTGGAGATATCACTGTCAAATCAATCGACAGTAAGGGGAATACTTACTTCCGGGTGTACAATTCTCCGTTATCCAATGGGAATGGACGCTCACATTGCCTTTAACAGCCTCCGACACAAACAAATGTCGTGCTTCCATGAGCGTCAAATCCCGCCGCAGATGGGAATACATTGCAATCAGTTGAAAGCTATTTGCGTCTGTTTATGAAGCTGAAGGAGCCTAGGAGCGTCCCAACTGCACGCCTCGGGACCCTGACCAAGCGTCGCTCCTGGACGTTTATGGAGTGAGAGTGTGTTGCCTGATGGACTCTAGTAGGTTAGCTTCAGCAGACCTGAGGCAACGGGTGGGGGTGTGTGGTTAGATGAGGTCACTGAGGTAGGTTGTTTAAGGCTTTTTAGGTGAGAATAAGTATTTTGAAGTCAATCCGGTGTTATATCTGCTTTCGTTAGGCAATAATATAAGGAATCACCAGAGGTGGGGACTCGAGTCACATGACTTGACTCGAGTCAGACTCGAGTCCCGTATTTTTTTACTTGAGACTTGCTTGACTAACATTGATAAAAGACTTGACTTGACTTTGACTTGGTATTCATGACTTGAGACTTGACTTAAGCTTGAGACAGATGACTTGAAAGGACTTGACTGTTTAAAATTAAATATTTGCGTTTGTTTTTGTAGTGAGATATTACGTTTAGTTTTTTCGAAAAACGTGATTGGGTGATTATAGCGCCGTGCGCGCAAACCTGGCAACCCACTACGGCAGGAGTGTCAGTTAACATGGCAGCGGCTAGCGTTACTCCAAAAATAGTGAAGTTTGGATTCAAGGATTATGTTGTCGATGACGCTAATAAGAAGAGAACAGCGGTATGAAGGGTCTGCAGCATAAAGATCAGTGACACGACCACCACAACATCCAACTTCATTCGTCACTACAAAAAACCCACAGAGAAAGGTGCGTGAATGTGTTGTGTTAGCTAGAAAGCTAACGTTAAGTTTAAGCTACGTTAGACTTGGTTTCAAATCGATTAAGCATTGCAAAGAGAAGA